GAAGTGCATAAAAGTAAACAAAGTAAAGAAGTAAAGACTAAAGAAGAATTACTTTATCTTATACATTAATATTCAAAGTAAATAATGAATGATGATGATCAATAACAAATAATAATAATAATAATAATAATAATAATAATAAAAAAGGTAATCATCCTTTGCATAAATACCATATGATAATTTTTCTCTTAAAATTTTGGGGAAATTACTGATGAACAAAAGAAAAGCATATTAGACTCTGAGCATTGATTCAATTCTTAAGACTGAAAACAGAATCTTAAATATATATTGAAAACAAGTCTATTCATCCTACTGTTACTATGCAAAAAGAAAATACAAAAGCAATAGATTTAGTTGGTCCATCTAACACAATCATATCAGTCTTCCCATGTTTAAAATAATAATTTGATATCACTAAAATGCAGATATTAGCAATAAGTGTTGGTTCTTTTTACAGTGGACTACAAGACAACAGCCACAGATGTGTTATCCTTGCAATATAGTAAAATCTCTCATGTGTCCATCACTGTCAAGTTTCAAGCTATGTTCATTTGCTAAATGAAGGAGTGCAATAAAGGCCAGAGGAACAGACAAATTCTCTGTCATCTTTGAAGACAGCTTGGATGGGAGATCTTTGTAGAGGCTTGTGAAGTCAATTTTATAATTTGGATCCATTTTGTCGTGTTGCACGTCTGGCTGAGCATGATTTTCAGACCTGGAAAAAAGAAAGGATGGTTGAAGGAAATGGAATGTTCATAAATAAATGTTGTACTAAGTCAAGAAATGGAGTTAATCAGAAATGAACTTGTAAAAAACCTCAAGTGCAGAGGTATGTACATAAACAAATCTACTATACAGCACACTATGGAACTAATAAATATTATAACTATAATTTCACACTCTCCATTATATTGAATTAAACTTGGTTATCATGTAAGTTTATGTACTGTCATTACTTTAATTATTGTTAATCCACTGTTTCTGGGAAAATGTTATTGGGAATTTTGTTTACTCATAGATGGCTCCACAAATGCTTAACTTCCAAGTTAAAGCTATGAATCCAATGCAGCCAGGATGGCATGTACGCAGATGCCATGACCATACTGAGTTTAATTCATCAAATGTACTTACACATAGATGACTCTTCAAGTACTTAATTACCAATAAGTCAATCACTATTCTGGCCTCTCACAGGATTACACTTGTCTTTGAATTTTGAAAATATTTCTATCATATCTATTACTATTAGTACTGTTAATAAAACTAATACTGGTAAACTTAACAATAATAATAACATCGATATTAATAGCAGGGGATTAACTCAACTTGAGAACAAAATACTGTCAACTGCCATAAAAATGAAATAAGCATGAAACACCCAAGGCTCACCCCTTCTCATTCTCCTTGTTGGTGCTTGGGTCTGCAAGCAGGTTCCATAATGTCGATTTCAGCTTCTTCATGTCGACCTTCTTTGCTGTCCGCGCATAGCCAATGTTGATCTTTGCAACCTGAAAAATTACAATTCTGTAATGCTAAAGCTTTGTAATGCTAGAAATGTATAAGTTTATAAAATTTTCTTATTTCATACAAGAAAAGATGGGGATGGAGAGAGAATGAGAGAGAATGAGGGAGGGAGAGAGAGAGAATGAGAGAGGGAGAGGGAGAGGGAGAGAGAGAGAGAGAGAGAATGAGGGAGAGGGAGAGAGAGAGAGAGAATGAGGGAGAGGGAGAGAAAGGGAGGGAGGGAGGGAGGGGGGAGAGGGAGAGAGAGAGAATGAGGGAGAGGGAGAGAAAGGGAGGGAGGGAGGCAGGGGGGGGGAGAGGGGGAGAGAGAGAGAGAGAGAGAGAGAGAGGAGAGGGAGGGAGGGGGGAGAGAGGAGAGAGGAGGGAGGGAGGGAGAGAGAGAGAGAGAGAATGAGGGAGGGAGGGAGAGAGAGGGGGGAGAGAGAGGGAGAGAGAGAGAGAGAGAGAGAGAGAGAGAGAGAGAGAGAGAGAGAGAGAGAGAGAGAGAGAGAGAGAGAGAGAGAGAGAGAGAGAGGGGGAAGGGAAAAAAAATATGTGTGTGTGTGTGTATAAGAATGCATTTTATTTTTTATTTACAAGTGGCTTTTCTGTCTAAGTGCACAGCTTAAATCAGATTAATAAATGTTGCTGCCTATGAACTCATCCATGGTTTATTGTGAGCATTTCACTATGAGATACTTGAAGCCCAGCTGTATTATAGCTCTTGAAACCTTTTTAGATTTTACATGACAGCCATTTGAATTTTCCATCCTTCTCAGAGAAAACTTAAGCAAAAATGTAAAAACTGAAAAAGATGACTACAGAACAGAGGTTTGTAAAATAATGAGATTAGCTCAATCTTCAAGTTGTTTCCTGCAACTTGAAGAAAATGTGTAATGAGGTAACAAAGTAAACATAAATATACTTTTTAATGAAAATATATATCTTTACAATTACTGTTTGCACTGGAATAATTTACTTGCAATACATTTACTTCCGGTAACCTCATGTTATGTGAGAATACCAACAGTGTTAAAACTGGGTAGCAGTCATTCCTAAGTCATGATTTTTCCTAAATTAAAAAGATTTTTTAGAATGTAGATCTATTTTTCTTCTAATTTTGCTCTTATCTACTTCATTTTAACAATATTCATATTCTTGCTAGGGGGGTGGGGGGGATTTAAAAGCTCAAATATTCTGATGATAAACTGGTTAATTTTTTTAAGGATACAAAAATTATGACGGTTCTACAACTTTGGGGTAAGGTAAGGGGTTTCTTAAATAATTTGCTGTGCCCCCTCCCATATATATATGAAGGTATGCATGAACTATATATAATTATGAAGCTCTATGTTTCTACATATATCTACACATAAAAATGCAAATATAACTATACAGACAAAAACCAAATACCAACCCTGTTGGGTGCCGCTACTAGGTTATCAAGGAAATGCATTCCCTTGTTGTCTAGATCCTCTCCTGCAGCTGGCTGTGAGCCCATTACTGTCTGGCTGAAGATGTCTGTTAAGTCATAACCTGCTGTGTGATCCCCATAACCACTGGCACCATCATCCTGTTAAAAAGTAATGCTATAAGAAGTCTTCATAAATTAAAGAATAGCAAGACATATAATTTATCCAGAAAAAAAAAAAAATAAATAATAATAATAATAAAAAAAATATATATAAATAAATGGGCTGTTTCTACATACCATATCTGCACAGTAGTTATCTCTATCATTCTGGTTGTCATAATCATACTCCTGCACACTGTCATCAACCTCTGCTGCCTTCTGCTGTCTCCTTATAATGATTGCAGGACGTCCAAAAAGCCTGTTGATTTAGGGAGGTTAGGATTTTGAAGAGAAGTGAGCATCTTCATAAAATGAAAATAACCTTGAGTATTCTAATACTAGTGTCAGTGTTCAATAAATCTCAAAGTATCATGAATATCTTACTAAGATGAAACAACAAATTTACTTTGTGAAATTCCTTCCATCATAGTGGAGATCCACTGGCAGTGTAGTCTTATCTCTGCTCCACAGCTTGAATGTTGTCTGAGTTAACTTTGTAGCTTTGCGGGTCACCGCAAAGAGCTTTGTGATTTCGGGGTCCTCCTGCTCTTCATAGATAAGGCTGACAAATTCCTTCTTCTTCTTCTTACCATCTTCTGACTGAGATTTCATACTTCTCACTGTATACAGGGATATAATAAATAAAAAAATAAAAAAAGTCCTGAAAGATGAGGACACCCCACCTATTGAACAGTGAAAAATAAATAAATACTATTACTATTACTAAATACTATTTTTATCTGTTAATAGCAATTATGGCAAAGGAAGGAAGGAAGGAAGGAAGGAAGGAAGGAAGGAAAAAAAAAAAGAAAAAAAGAAAAAAAGAAAAAAAAAAAAAGAAAAAAAAAAAAAAAAAAAAAAAAAAAAAATATATATATATATATATATATATACACACACACACACACACACACACACACACACATAATCTTTCTGTAAAACTCATAGATTAGGTGCACTACCATGCTGTCTTTAAAAGTATAGCTTCAATATATTTTCTGAAAGCAAAGAGCAAACCTTTGGATAGTGCTTTTATTCTCCAGTGGCCAGGTCCTGCCCAAGCAGACATGACACGGCTATCAAAGTAAGAGTACTCAGACGGATTGGTTGCCAGGTGTTCCTTCAAATGGACGGCTTCCATGAGGGGAGGCGGGGCACGCTGACAGCCCTCCTGCCCAATGGTCATAACAGTGCCATTGTCATCATCATCAGCTCCAGTTATGTGATCTATTCCTTGGGAGAGAGTAACGTAGGTCTCATCATTATATCTATAATTTTTTGTGTGATTTTATTCATAACATGAAAACTGGTTATATGAGGAGGGAATTTACAACATTACATTTTGCAACTGTAAACTTTTGAAGGAGGAAGAGGAGGAGGAGAAAAGGAGAAAAACACAAAAAAGAAAAGGAGAAAAAGAAGTAGAAAAAAGCCTGCTACTGAAGAACTGCAATAGGCTTGTAACTCTCAAGTACTTCAAGGACACTAACAATAGCAAGATCTGGAGACTTATGAGAAAAATCCATGCAAATGAACCTACCTTCGTCATCTGCATCAAAATACGGGTCATCATCCAGAGGTTCCGGCACAGCGTTGACATCAAAACGATGGGCATCTTGGTCCTCTTCTTCCTCTTTATCCTGTAGTCTTGAAACATCACAGAAAGAATCCTCATCACCAACTTTCCACGACGTAAACTCAAAAGGCGCAAATGTTGGACAAATTAGCCTTTGGCCAAGATCTGAGAAAAGGTTTGGAAATGTGATGTACATTAGAACCATTAAATTAAGCATTCCACTCTGACCCATTAACCCAATTGGCAAGGATGGCAAGAATACATGCAATAACCCACTGTAATTTAAGTTTATTTATTGTATTTACACACAGATGGCTCTACAAGTGTTTAGTCACCAAGGAATCAGTTATCAGTCCTACCCTTCTCCCCTGTTTACCCCTTTCCTTGATTTTTGGAAAGTTTCTTTTGTATTACTTCACTGTCATACCCAGACTTTTATAACAAGTAAATAATCATAACATCAGTAGAAATAATAACAATATCGATATCAATAGTATTAGAAAGAAAAACATATTTTCCCACAATTTCAAGGAATGGGGAAATCAGGTGCAATCTGATAGACTGAGTACACGTGAAGCCATCTCTGTATGTAACAAAATTCACAAAAAACTACAGGGGTCATAGCATAAATCCTTACTGTTTGGCTTAAGGGGACTATGCAACACCTGGGGTCTTCTAACTAGACTATTTGGAGCAGTGTGTTGAAACTTTACATATGCATACATATGTACATGTGTGTTGCAGCACATTAAATTACACAGCACCATTAACCCCTCTGATTCAGATGACATGATCATCATGTCATGAAACTTTTTTACCTGAGGGGCAGGTGACATGATATACCGTCATGGGAATTTCAGGTAACGGGAGTGACTTGCCACAAGTGTACAAAGTTCTTGGAGGGTGATTAGACCCAGTGGGCATTTGGGCTTTTACTTTATTTTCATCAATAAAGGAGAGTGGAATGGACCATCCATGAGCCATGTTTGGAAGGGTGTTGGCTCCAGTAGGATGCTGTTTCCAGGCTCAGGAACCTATTTCTGCTCGCATGTTGTGTTCCAGACAATGGAATGTTATGAATTTTTTTAAAAATGAGACAAAAATAACAAAATGTTAATGATTGTTATTATTCTAGTTATAGACTACCTAGGGATATGGAGTCTGCAAGGAAAACAGTCTATTACTATCTGGGTAAAGAAAAATAAATGAGAAATGTAGACATTGGCAAATTGCAAAAAGCTAAAAATGCTTATGCAGAAACAGAGAACACACCACACACCAGTGTTCGTGTGCAACCAGCCTATCAGAGGTGGGCGCTCAAGTAAGCCTATTACCCGTAGTCTGGGCCACATTTGGCAGCGAAGTATCCAGATCCAAGGGGTTAATACTTAAGCAATGATATTTGCTTTTTGGCTGTGAATGGTAATTTGGTATGGCTACTGACCTATGCAAAGTACTTTAAAGTTTCATGTATACAAAAGCATGCTGGCATTTCTTTTTTTTATGTGCATGCAATATTGTATAAAATTGGGAATTCTGTCACTTTCCCTCTCATTATTCTTAACACAATTACCCTATCCATAATATATACACACAAGTGCTTTGCTGCTTGTAAAAGCAATATTCCCAAGCATTATCACTGAACAGACATATGATCAATTTAAAGTTTTCTAAAAAATCTGAATGATTCTCCTATATCTTTGGCATTATCATAATGAAGTAAAGTATTCTAAAAACCATTAAAATACTTCAATAAAGTACTTTAATTAGAAGAATAGCAACAGTCAGGCACTCTGATGGCCTCATCAGAAAATTCTATATTTGCACCTTTGCCTGTCTGTATATATCAAACCTCACTGCTTAGGGTCCTCAGAATGACTAAATCAGTAGAGGTTTATTTCAACCAGAACCAAGATAAAATACAGAATCTGAGAGATAAGCGTGCACTCCTGAATGTTCCTGATTTTCGTAAGGGGCTATCAAGTCTATGTGTGAGTTGCCAGTGGCTCTCCACCCTCCCAGACTAACACACTTTCAGCTAGACTGGTGCAGCAGGATTTCAGTGAGTTTGCCTTTAGTCATTGTGCATAGAATGTCCCAACTGCCACACCCTCTTCATTAGATTTGGACCTTTGTCCATTTAAACCCATGCTAGATCTTTAAAATGTAAATGATGATGGAAATATTGCTTGGGGTGTATTTCTAAATGGTACACAAATATTTCAGGCCCAGTTTTGAAAAATGCTATATTTTACTTTATATACACTCCGAGATACCATAGAGCACCTTAACACCATATTTATAGACGCTGTGAAGGGCTTCTATTACAAGCTTGCATGATCAACATAGTTTTATGGAATGTATTTCCAAACAATGAAGTTGTCTATTCAAAATACTAAGCCAATACTATTGCACTAAATAATCCTGTTAACAACAATAAAATTGGATAGAAGGAAAATGGAATATGTATACATACACATATATGTGAGAATTTTAAGTGAAAGCCATAGTAATGCTAAACATGAACAACATTAGTAAAACACCTAAGAAAAATTTTGCATTTTGGGTTTTTCTCCCATAGTATCAACACAGTAGAATGTTTTACCATTCATCACACTTACTATATGATATTCATTGCACTTCATTCACAAGAAGATTGAGGCGAGAACACATGACTGTGTGCTGGCCAACCCAGGGAGGGAGGGGGGATCACAGGTGTAGCTGCACTACATACATTACTGAACATTACATTTGTCTCATTAACAAGTAAAAAATCTAGGATTATAACAAAGATGGATTTACCTTCAGGCTTTGGTATCAAAACAAGCTCAGTCTTTTTAGGGACCTTGTCCCTGAGCATGTCCATGAGGATGGTTTCAGAATCAAGGACCATCTGGCATGAATCATCCTGTAAAAATGTAAATTTTCCTTATATATAACCATTCCAAAATTCCAAGATGTACATACATATAACAATATATCATGCACACACACACACACAAATATATAAATAAATTTGTAGCAATTACTGTGAACTGCATAGCAAATGAATGTAACCCAAATTATAAGTTTAAATAGTATGAGATATTATTCTTATCAATAAACTTTTACATTATATTCTTCAAAACTATAAGTAAAAAAAATGCAATGAAAACAACAACAACAACAGCCCAACTACAAAGCAACTCACCAGCAGCTGGAGCGTGCTGAGGAACTGCCCACTGCCCGATCGGCCCTCATCAAACTGTGCCGAAGTCTTTTTGAAGAGAGGATCCACCTCAAATTCAAGGTCAAACTGGGTTACATTAAGGTTTTTGATGTTGGTTTCTATTACAGCTTTCTTCTTGATCTGGAATAGTCAGATTATTTGAATTCAATTCATAATAGCCTTAATAAACAGAAAATGTATGATTTTTGAACCCTGATAAATAACATGATTATATCCCAAGCTGAAAAAGAAAGCAAAAAGAAAAAGATGCAATGACCATAGATACAGCAGGGAGACCCTTGGGACTAAAGACCAGTCAATCACCTTTCTTTTCTTCCTTTCCCCATCTAGTCCTTCTTCACCTGCAGCATCCTCCTCTTCCTCTCTGTTCTTTTCTTTGTCTTGAGTTCTTCCTAGTCCACCTGCCATCTTCAGGGTGTCTGTGTGGATACTATCCACACGATATGCATAGATCTTTGTGCTAGCATCCAGTGTACAGCTGGCAACCTGTTGGTTTGATGCTTGTGAATAAATAAAACTAATTTATTTTTCTCTTAAACCTTCAATCAACAGATGGACATATTTTCAATAAATTGAAAATTTGTATTGACTCATGAATGGCCAGTAACCATACAAGACAAAAATTATATGCATCTATCATATAGGAGTATCAGCCAAAGGTAGTGCAGTGAGCAACACTGATACTGCAAGATCTCCTTCATCCTTTCAAGTTATTATCATTTATTAACTGAAAATCTGCCACATCAATATCTAAAGTCATTAGCAGTATATTCAAAATATAGTGATAGCGTGAAGCTTGGGGGCAAAGCCCCTGGGTAAGGAAGAGCTGTATGACATTAAAGGTCATATGGCTTTATGGTAAAGCATATAGCAAAATAGGGTTCAGAATGAGTTAATGATTAGGGTAGTTACAGGCTGAACAGTACTTTAGGGTAGTATGGTAGTGATAAGGGCAGAGAGGGGGAGTTTAATGAATATAGTATAAGGTAAATGTTAGAAGAGGGAGTTAAGGGGGTAGAGATCATTATGAAAAAGTATTGTGATGAAAATGGCAAAAAATAGTTAACAATTAGGACAAATAGACAGAACAAGGGGGTGAAGAAAAGGAAAAGGAAAGGAGGAGAAGAAAAGACCATGCAAAAATAGTTGAGGCAAGGGCTGAGGACTAAGGCAGGGGTGATCCCTTGCATTGGGTCTCAGTCCCCGTCTCCTAAGCCCCCTAAGACAACTAGCAAGGGATTGGGGGGAGGGGGTTCTTCCCTATTGATAAACATGTCACATGTACTAACATTCCAAATAACAAAAAACAGAGAGAGCGGAGGGAGAGAGAGTGAGTGAGTGAGTGAGGGGAGAGAGAGAGGGAGAGAGAGAGAGAGAGAGAGAGAGAGAGAGAGAGAGAGAGGAGAGAGAGAGAGAGAGGAGAGAGAGAGAGAGAGAGAGAGAGAGAGAGAGAGAGAGAGAGAGAAGAGAGAAGAGTGAAGAGTGAAGAGTGAAGAGAGAAGAGTGAAGAGAGAAGAGAGAGAGAGAGAAGAGAGAGAAGAGAGAGGAGAGGAGAGGAGAGGAGAGAGAGGAGAGAGAGAGAGAGAGGAGAGGAGAGAGAGAGAGAGGAGAGGAGAGAGAGAGAGAGGAGAGGAGAGAGAGAGAGAGGAGAGAGAGGAGAGAGAGGAGAGGAAAGAGAGAGGAGAGAGAGGAGAGGAGAGGAGAGAGAGGAGAGAGAGGAGAGGAGAGGAGAGGAGAGGAGAGAGAGAGATTCAAGTGTTCACTGTGGTACTCCAGTGAAAGACAACATACAACGACTATGTATTTTCTGCCAAGACTGAGGTTGTAGATCACCCTGTTGATTCTCTATCAAACAGAGAACATAACATGTGATGGCAGTTTGTTGGAAATTATGGAACTCAGTCTTAGGCACATGTGGTCTCAGCTTTGAAAATTACTCTTTCACCAAACATATATTTATATTATTGCCATTTTATGTGAACAGTACTTCACCTTACCTGAAAATTATTCATGTCAGAGTCTTTTCTGCGAAGCATTTCTGACATGTAGTCTATAAGCTGCAAATTGAATGCATTTTTCATGCTGATTTTCTGCAAGAGAAAATAATTTTCAATAGTTTCAAATGATTCCTGTAAAGCAGATTATATATATATATATATATATATATATATATATATATATATATATATATATATATATATATATATATATATATATAAAAAAAAAAAAAAAAAAAATTACAAATTACAAATTTTACTAAATCAATATTAGATATCTACAGCCTACAACATAAGAAAAAGTAGGTTCTTACATTCTCTGCAGACAGCTGAATGCATTTTGAGTAATGGTCTGACAACTGCTGGTTGGTGAGTCCAGCTACAGAGCTTAAAGACTTTCTTCTATCTCCTGGGGTTGCTGAGGGAGACGAGAAGTTCCTTGATTGCATCTGCTGCTGCAATCGACTCAACTGCCGCTCTTTCTTTTCCTGCTCATCATTATTCTGGATAAAGAAAATAAGTAAGATTAATGCAAGGGAAAATGACAAATATTCATACTATATATGAAATAACTAAACAAATGCACTACATTATCATTGTTGATTTGTCATGACTACAAGAGCCTGTGTGCACCATTAGGCTGCTTGCTTTCTTATAGTCCAAGAAATGAAGGACACACTTCCATAGCTGAATTTATTAAACAAAGTCTCTTTCTTAGCACCTTCTAACAGACACTGAACCTACTATATATATGGAAATATGAGATTGTAAATCAGTAAATGTCTATCAGACAGCTCCAACAGCTTGCAAAACAGGCTTTATTATTCTAATGGTATAGTTTGTTTCAAAAAGCTATATGATACAAGGTAACCTTTACCAATAATAAACAGAATGACAGAAAATAACTCTTTTCATCTATAGTATTCCCTCCACAAGTTGATATTAAGATAGTGGTGCAACATGTAATAATTATAGTGACATTATCATTAACAATGTGGAAAACCACACTCACTGACATACATTATTTACATAGGCATCAGAAATGAATAAAACAGGTTGTGACAAGCTGAATGGAGAGTAAAGTCTACAGCGATCAGATGGGAGTTTGGAGGCAGTGTCCCCGATGAGGAAAGGTGGTGATTAGGTGGGGCCCGGGGGCAAAGCCCAAGCTTTGGAAGGTTCTTGGTTTATATGGCAATGTTTGTAGATTTTCCAGGAGTGGCTGGAGTAACGGGGACTTGCCATCAGAAGGGTGCAGTCACTTAGTAAACAGTAACAATACTTTCACTTATATAATTTGCAATGGAAATATCATAACGTGAATAAATGAAACAAGGAATAATGATAGCAAAGTTGGATGGCTGTGTGGGGGGGAAAAAAATTCCATTTCCCCAAACTGAGGCATTCCAGCCAAATTTACTTGTAATTTTCATATGATTTGTGATACTGTATGCATTAATGTAGTTTTTGATGCTGCAAATATGGACACAGATATGCACAATAAATGGAAAGAAAAAAAAAAAAAAAAAAAAAACCTTACCGCAGGTACATCCATAAAAACGTTGTCAGAGCCAACAGAGTCCATGATGGAATGCCGCCGTGAGTGAGGCGTGTCAGAGCTGGCCTGGCCGAAGTTGCTCCGACGCTTGGTGGGCGAGAGGGCAAACCCCACGGAAGAGCGCCTTTTGCTGGCCGACATCTTTGCCTGCTGGGTTGCGCACGCCACAGGCTATGGTCTGGAAGGAGATGAGGGGCAATATGTAGAAGAGGGTAGTGGGTTACTTTTGAAACAATTTTGATTTTTTGCTGCATGAAATCCACTGCTCTCAACGATTCTAGGCATCGTTCCTTGTGCAAATGAATCATTGAGGAGATATGATCACCATCTCCACCGACAATCTTGATTTGATAAGTCCTGATAGCAGGGGAGGGCATGAAGTATACCAGGGAAATTATAGGGTAAATCAGGACACCCATGGTCAAACAAAACGTCCTAACCCAACATTCAACCTAACTTGACACCGTGGTAAATATTCCCTAGCCGGGGGCTCTGCCCCTGGACCCCTGTGGTAATATATCTGCCTAGCCAGGGGGTTATGCCTCCTGGACCCCTGTGGTAGTATATGCATCTAGAACTCACCCTTGCAATGTAAACAAGATGAGCGACAAAATTGGGGGATCTTTTTTTCTTTTATATATAGCTCCCTTGGGAAGCATTTCACACGTATTGCCATAGAACTTTGTCTTGGTTTGTATTGCTCTATCATTTCATGTAGCTTTTATTACCCAACTCTGCCACTACCTTATACTACATATTGTCCAAAATAAAAGCAAAATTATATTCGTCTTTGAAGTTAACTTGAAAATCCGAATGCTCTTTCTAGTTGGCCTTTCCAATAGAGTCATTCTTGCCAATTATCAGAGAGTAAAGAATTGGTTTGGAAGGACGTCTTCCTGGAGGCCACTGTATCAACACACAGGACGCGTTCGGCATGTGCATGCAGTACAGTCAAGGAAGTGTGACCTGCTGGCGATCCCTGGAGGAAGGCGACGCAGCCGAGGCGTCCGCACTTGGACGGCAGCGGCGTTCGCGCGCCAAGCCTCGTCGACCAAAACAAACGGACGATAACAGTGATGTAAAAGCCTCAACAAACCCTTTCACGTCGCTACTATCGTCTTCTTTGGTACGGCTTAAATCTACTGGTCCTATGGTTCCCTTTCCGGGTGGACATAGGTTAGTTTAAGGGCAAAATAACGAGGCTTTCTGTCAAAATACGAGAAGTGAGTTTGAAACTCTGGTTCTCACCCGCTGCCGCTCCAAGTCTCGTCAAGTCTCGCCTTTCGCGAGAGTCTGACGGCGGGAATTTTGATTTTTAATTTTGACAAGGCCTTGCCTGTATGTCAGTAAGGCGCATCTTGATATGACGGTCATATTCCGTATTGAAAGACTCACACGGTTTATTCGAGATCATTTGTACCCGATATTATAGGCTACTTAAGATAAAATCTGTGTCCGACGTAATGAAGTATCATACCTTTAATGAAGTAATTCATCTCACGGTTTCAAATATCTTTCATAAAATAAACAGTATCTACTAGTTCGTAAGTAAAGAATGAGGTGTTAAATGCATCTCTCCCACATACATTAGTATATGTATTTGAACGCCAAAATTTAAAAAAATGTCCTGGCAACACTTCCCCCTCGCTGCCGGCCGTACGACGACCGTTACCACGGCAACGCCAGAAAGCTGAATGAATCGCCACTCAGTGTGCGAAGGAACGTCGTGGGGAAAAGCGTCTCTGCTTCCGCACTGTCAAGCACTCTGCTGAATTGCCTTGTGTGATTTCGGACATTTAAATTAGTCTAGTTTGTGAGCAAGAACATATGTGGTGATTTATTAACAGCGGGTTAGACAGGCATCGTGCAATTATGAATTTGGTGAGTATATAGATTATGGTATTAGTTGCATTAGTTTATTTTTTTTTTCATTTTTCACGATTGGATACAGTGTGTGTCTGGAACTGAAAGTAAAAAGAATGCTACTGTAGTTTTTTTTATGTCCAATGATATTTATTTGCATCGAACATTTTGCAGTTTGATTAATGTTTACGCACCCCGTTGTCCATCATTTGTCTATGAAAACAAGCATTTATATTATTTCCTAAGGTCTGTAGAACCTTACATGGTCTCGCTGATAGTATTAGTATATGCGTTATTCTAGCGTGGGAGAAAATTAACCTCATATGAAATAGGCTTTAATATCTGTTTATACGTCTGTGTGTGCATCGTGTGCCTGTGGATGTTTCTGTGCATCATTTGCTCCATGGCTTCATGAGTGCGTGTTTACAATGTTTATACAGTTTTGCACATGTTGTTATATTCTTCAATACATACATATATGTGCCGCTGTGTACTTGCAGAATATGTTATACTTTGTTGAGATCGTAATAACACTGATGTTCATTTTCGCCGATCAAAGATCATCAGGAAAATACATTCGGTATAATTTTGAGTTTGGACTGACTGGAACCAAACCATCCGGCCAACTTAAGTCAATTTATGAACAACTTTGTGTACTAGAAAACCCTGCTGCATGTGAGATGTTCTGAAACCTGGCATGTACTTTTTATGAGTTTCTTTTTTTTCCTGTTAAAAGGGCACCATCGGGATCAGGGCACGTGGACCAATCGGTTAAAATTCGGATAAAAAGCAAGGAAAATAGAAATAAGGAACGATTAAGTTGAGTTAAGTTCTTGTAAAGTTGTTCTTGTATAGGTTTATTGCTATCCCTATTGTCATTGTTATCTATTATTACTTCTTACTGTTATTAGCGATTGTTATAATTGTTGTATATTGCAATTGCTGTAATTATTATTGGTATTATTGTTTTTTTTCCTGTTATTAGGGTTGTCATTGTCGTGGTCGTTGTCGTTAGTAGTGTTATTGTTGTTCATTTCAATGTTGCAATTACACTTATTATTATTATTGGTTATATATGTTATAATTTTAATAGTGTTTTTAATGACTTGTCATATTGTTACTGGTACTTCTATTACCGTTGTTTTCACATTTTATTATAGGCTGGTGGTTGTTGCTGTTGTCGTCGTCATCATCATTGTAATATTGTCATTAGCATTATCATAATTATTAGTAGTATTATGGTTTTGCTGTAACGTTATCATTATGATTATTGCCACTATTTTTATCATCACTTATTATTATTAAGGTCATTATGGTTATTATTATCACTTTTATTATCGTTATGGTCATTCTCTTATCATTATTATGGTTATTATTGTGAGCATTATTGTTATGATCGTTCTTATAACCATCGTCGTCATCTTCGCCAACGCCATCAGTGTCGTCGGCGTCAGACTCCGATCTATTCAGTGTGGCTACGATGTCAAGGCACGGGCGGGGAGCCAAGTGGGAGGATGGCACAGGAATGGTGAAACACTCTTCCATGTTGGTACTATGGTAGAAAAACCCACAATGTAAAACTAGATTTATTGAAAGTGAGACAACAGTTTCGGAATCCACCTGGATTCCATCCTCAGGTCTGAAGAGGAAAGGGAGAGAAGGGGGTATAACAGAGAGAGAGGAGAGGCAACGCGGTAACACGAGGTAGGTGAGGACAGGCGAACGGAAGCAAAGGGAGGTCAAATTAGGTCGGAGGGTCTGGCGGACTATGTAGAGGGTGGCCGGCATAAGGGAGAAGGTGGAGGATGTGGGAAGCTAGCAGACTGTCGGCAGGAGAACAGCCGCTGTTTAGGTTGAAATTAGGCAGCAGCTTTATTAAGGAGGATTCCACCAGTCTGCGGGCGTGGACATCAGCAGAAGGAAAGACAATTCGCGCCGCTGACCAGTCTGCCTGATGGCCTGTGTCCCACTGATGGCATAAAAGGACGTTGTTGTTGTGTCCCCTGGATACAGCGTACTTATGTTGAGACAGACGCTTAGTGAGACTGACGCCCGTCTCGCCAAAATATTGCTTATCACATGAGGTACAAGGAACAGCATAGGTGCCCACCTTCGAGGAAGAGGGAGGACTGGTGTGGACCAGGTTGCGACGGAGAGTATTCACTTGGCGAAAGATCAGCCTGCAGTTGAGAGGGTGAAGAGGGCGACGGAGAGAGTAGATCTCCTCAGTATAGAGCAGGCTGGGGACAGGCAGGTCATGAGTCTCTTTAGGAGAGGAGTCGTGGTAGAAGGTAATTCGTGCCCTGGATAAACGCGACGTCGAGAACATGACGAGGATAGCTCATTCTGGAGAACGAACGACATTGGAATTCGATCTCTCTATCCAGGTACTGGGGGTCACAGATTCGGATGGCGCGGAGGAACAGCGGAGTGGCAACACCTCTCTTTGCATAGAGAGGACGATATGAGAAGTGTATGTACATACAAGCACTATGCATAGGCTTCCTGTATATGGAGAAGGAGAAGTGGTCAGCAGAACGATGTACTAGGATGCCCAAGAAGGGTAGCTTGTTATCAACCTCCTTGAACCTCCACCTTGAAACGGATGGAAGGAGAGAGAGAGACTTCAGGGCAGGGTCATGAGGCCAGAGAACAAAGACGTCGTCGACATACCTCAGCCAAACCGACGGACGAAGGGAGATGGGAGGGAGAAGCTCAGACTCGAAGAATTCCATAAACAGGAAAGCCAAGACTGGAGAGAGGAGCGAGCCCATGGCAACACCGAAGGTCTGGGAGTAGAAGCGACCCTTAAAGAAAAAAGGCAAGGAGTTCCTATGAGAAGAGATGAAACGGTCAAAGGACGAAATAGTGTCCATGGGGTAAGAGGGTGAGCGTGGAGAGCAAAGGAAAGACCGAAGCCAAGGAGTTGTTGCTGGTGGGCGATCAAGGACAGGGAAGATAGGTTGGTGACAGCGTCGGTGAGGGAGAAGCGGGACCAAGGACTGCGGGCGGTGAGGCTGGAGAGTTTCCGGGAGAGAGGACGGCCGTGGTTGGTGGAGAGGGACCGGGAAGAATCGTGAGCAACATCGGCTATGAACTGGAAGATATGTCTAGGGAGCCGCTCCTTCAGGAAGTCTGAACGTAATTGTGAATGGTAGAAGGCATGTTCAACATCCTTCCTACCAGCACGGATGCGTTCAAGGAGAGAACGAGTATAGTCAGGAAAGGGCGATCCTTCCTCTGAATGTTTCAGTATATCAGAGAATAAGGAAGGAAGCACCTGCTCCTCGAGGCAGTCGAGAAGCAAGCGAAGTTGATTTTACCGTCGGGCCGTAGCGATGACAGAATCTTCGTAAGCACGAAAGGCAGGGAAGGAGGCAAACAAAACGACAGAAGATTTATTTTTACCGTGAGGGCCATGTTGAATGGTGAAACACGCTACCATCCTCAGGTCTGAAGAGAAAAGGGAGAGAAGGCAACGCGGTAAACCGGGGTAGGTGAGGACAGACGAACGGAAGTAAAGGGAGGTCAGATCAGGTCGGAGAATCGGTCGGATTACGCACAAGGTGGCCGGCATACGGGAGATGTCACATTAAAGAAACCGGAGTCCCTGATCGTCGGGAAGGGGAGATGAACCGCTTAGAATAGCACTTAATTAAACAACTGCATCGTCCGTCCTTCCATCAGATGCCAAAAACTTACATGCATGTTCTACCAAACGAAACGCCAGCGGCACAGACGTTTCCTGCGTCTGTGCAATGCAGATGAGCTCACGACAGAGGGGCTGATGGCTGTCCAAATGCAGTGGGCGCTGTATGACTCGTAGAACGGGATATGGTCTGAGACTGCAACGGATCCACAAATTAAAGCCTTTTTAGCCAAATGAAACTCTGGTTAAACCAGGCTTGAATACGTAAATGGCAGCCCATGCATACGAGACGGCAGTGGACGGCTGCAAAGGAGGCGATCCATACTTGAATTTTTTCCTTGTCAGAAGGCAGGGAAGGGATCGTGTCTCTCCGTACCTGCCCATCCATCACCGCCTGACCTTGGCGAAATTCACGACGAGGTATTCCCTGATGCGTTTGTCTGATATTCGGTAGTTTGAAACTTCCTGCAGTCTCTGTGTCGGGTGCACTACAGTTGGTCTCTGTTCGATCTGAAATCTGCATCTGACTCACCAGTTTAAATACAAGAATAT